ACAGCAATTAGTAGTTTTGTTTTTTTCTTTAACCGGCGCCAGCAGCTGCTGAGTGGAATGGACGATATACTCCCCTTCCCCCATCCTTCTCTTTATAAACACAGGAAGTGCTTTCTGATTTATGAGTGGAGAGCAAAAGATGGCTTCTCTCGTGACTTTCCAATTGAGTAAACGAATAAACTGCAATAATTCGTCAACATTAAAAAAAGGATGACGAATCCGTTTTACGATTGAATTCTAAAGGTTATATCAGACGGCAGAGTTTTCATTATGGCCAGAATAAACATATAACTGTTTATCCGGTGTGACTTCTAATGATTTCAAGCTGCGTATTTGAGTTTCTATAGTGTCACTGGATTTGGTTACTGGGGTAAGATTCAGGAGTTTTTGCATGTGTGAGTTTATAATGATATCTTATCTTTTCTGCCAAACCTGTTTTTAAGTATTTCGATAACTTCATCGTAATTTGGTTCCGAAATACAAAAACCTTCTATCGAGTTTGCAGCGTTGCCGCATAAGTACGATTTTAAATAATTAAATTTTTCGATCTTTGTTAAAGATTCATTATTCATGGATTGCTACTTTGAAAGAGTTCCAAAAACTTTGTCCACTGGGTGTAATCTCCATAGAATTTAGCGATGGTTATTTTGGCAGACGCGTACATTTATTGCTTTCGATTTTAGAATTAGTTTCGTTAAGAGAGTTTTCATTATCCGAATTTGTTACTTTATTCAATTCTTTCAATTTTTTATTTGCTCTGAATTGCCATAACTGAATTTTCTCTTCGTATTCGATACAACATAGAATTTTCTGTTTCAAACTCTTCTGCCTCTGATTTCAAGTCACGCTCTATCTGAGCATCTAACTCACTCAGAGCTTTTGATTTCGTGATTAATTGATCTAAATTTTTCTTCTAATGTACTTGTATCAATTTCTTCTTTATTCAACTCCGATTCGATTTTTTTTAGAATCTTGGACACGGTGGTCCTGATAACTTTGCGTTTCGATTTTTAATTTAACAACAGATCTCTTCCGCCATAGTACTTTTACTACTCTACAAATCAGAAAGTTTAGCCTTGCCTTTTTTGCCGACTTCGCACACTTGCAACGTGCTAAATCCAATTCTTGACGGCCTAATGCACCAGCTGTTTCAAAATATTCTAAGATCTATAAATCGACATCAATCACTTTTTAAATGTAACTTTTAATATGTACAATATTTACAGATCAGAGATCAAACATGGTGGTTCAGTTGACAAATAAATCTATATGCTTTCATAATCGAAAATCGAAATCAAATAGGAACCGAAGTGTTCCTAATCAAATAGTGTGCGAACCATCAGACATCCATCTATCGAACTGCCGGTGGAGAGTCTATGGAAATTCAGAAGGCACGTCGCGTCGCGTTAACACGCAACGCTAGCGCCATCTATCAATTAATCAAAATAATTTCCACACAGAAATTTATGCAAATTTTAAAGTACGCACGTCTCTGAGTTATGCGAATGATGTGAAATGCGCAGCTTTCCGACCCACGTGAAGTAAGATATAAGGGAAGGAACGTGCAGAATGGGCTCTACAAATTCTACTAAAAATTGCTAAACAACTACAAAATCTGTAACAATACTTATCATCATCATGAGGTCAAAAGTCATCTGAAAAAGATTTCGTTTTTATTTGTTCTCACTATTTATGAAGAACGTTTTAAAACTGCAAATTTTAACCACTGTACTGAAGCGTTTTCTTAATATGTATACAATTTTAAATATATATTTAAAACATGTATCTCGCATTTGAGCTATCCATGAGAACAAGTCAAATTATTCAAAATACAGAGATATAAATCTGATCAAACATCATCCTACAAAATCTTCGCTTTTTCGCGCTATAGATTCAGTTAGAAATGGGTAGGGCACCGGAATTTCACCTTTGCTCATATAGGTAGTGACTCACCGTGCTAACCGTGCAGCTCTGTCCAAATTTCCGCGATGCACCCTGGAAGGGTCTTTCGTCATGACGGTTAGTGTGAGGGGACAATACCTGTAAAATCTCATAGTGAAGTTCTGTCTTCCACACTTGTCGCCTGTTTGTCCAAATTTTGACGGAGAGCATCAGAGGAGACGGATTTGAGAATCTTCTACCCTCTTTCTCTGTCACCAAAGTCTTCGAGAGGTCTTATGGCTCGTTAATATTTTAAGTACTCCCATGCAGCACTGACACTATACTCTTCACAATATTCATACTTTTCCGGGATTCGAATCTGGGCCCAACGCTGACTATTAAACAGATCAGGATGCCCGTGATAGGTAATAGCTGCACAACTGACCATTTCTTCTATTTAAGACTTGAGGAATAGGATTGCGTTTTTCACAACCTGGAGCACAGTTTAGGAATCATCTAAAGTCATTTGTGCCATCTCTTTGCAGCAGCTCTGGTTTGCACTAACTTTGAAGACTTTTTTTCTCAACTTTTTTTTTCTTTTTTAACTTTGAAGACCTTTTTTCTCAGAATTGTTATTACTGGGCAATTCTGAATAGAGCAAAAGCTGTATGAGCTTTTAAACAAAGATACCGTTCTTTTATACTGCTTACCCCGGGCTTAGACATTTTAAGTAGCATCTTTTTTTCGTGTATACTTGCAGTTTTCTATGGAAGCGGAATGGGAGGAACAGTTATACACTCTTTATTATCAAACAACGTTTCACAAAAAATTCACATAAACTTTTTTCCCGCGAAACTAACTGTTGCAATAGGGAATTTAGGTTCCATCTGTTTGTTATTATCTTTAAAAATCTATCTCTCGAAGTTGCTTTCCCTAAAGCTTGCTTAACTAATAGTAACCTTTTCTTGCTCTCTACTTCTCTTTTCAAATTCCATTAATTTTGAAAGCCAAGATAGTCTTGTGGAGTTGCGAATAACCTAATCATTAGACAGAGAACTTCGTTGCCATGCCTTTAAAATATCTTCTGCAAGGCTGGTTTTCACCATTCAGTAAAGCCATCTGGAATCAACTTCTGGGTGTAATACCATGGACTCTAAAGCTGTAAGGTAGGTCTCAATCTTATCAAAGTTTTTAAGTCTGGTAATCTATCTTTACCGTTAGCTCGTTCGTTAGAAATATTAACCTTAGCAGTTCTCTAACAAATATTTTTAGTAGTAAATCTTTTTTCCTAAAGCGATTCTCTAACCCAGAAGCTACAGTTTTATCATTTTTTGACATTTACGAATAACTTTCAAAAAAATTCTTTTGCATGCGTATTTGGTTGCATACATTGTACGAGATACTGAAAGATGTCACTCTCACATAAATTCCCTTTTATCTTCTTAAACAGAGACCATAAACTCAGTTACTTAATTCTCAGTCAGTTTTTAACATTTCAATTTGAGAGAGTTTATAATTCTTAAACTTTGATTCGTAAGAACTGTTTACTGAATTATTTTCATTCTAAGCAGTTCTTCTTAATTTTTTATTTTGTACGGGTATCATAGTAATAGACTCATCATAACATTCTTCAGGGCTATTTATTTCTGCCGCTAACTCTTTATCTTTCAAGTTCTTCGTTCAGTTTTTCCGTCTTAGTAGCTTACCTTGGACCGTACCTCTCTATTTGCTTCCGTTTTACGAAATTCTTCTTTGAAAATATTCACCGTCTTCGTAAAGGAAAACTTATAACGGTACCCAACTTTTTATCAAGTTCCATGATATTCTTATAAAATTTCTGTATTAATTTATTAAATATATATTAATTAATCCCGGCTGGCTCGCCATTAAATGTAAACAAATTTGTTCCTTTGCGTTCTAGTTTTCGATGGTTTAGACCAATAAAATTTCTTTTTCGATAGTTTAACCTGATTTATTGCTAGAGGTGTTATTCCCGGGCCTCTCAGCTTGCATACTGCATTAAATGCAACTTTAAAAGGCGAAAACACACATTTTATAAAAACTTGCTTAACGAACAAAAATCCTTCAATAGATGCATATTTAAAGTAAGAATCAGAGATATTCAGGTGGATGACTTAAAACATTAATGCATAAACATAACAGCTGCGAGCATAGTTTTTGGAATTATGCCCGAACACTGCATAATTATTAAGGAACTTGATAGCAGTCTATCCGTGAAAGAAAGTTTTCAATTCACGCATATATACACAAATGACAAGTGTCGTTTTACATAAGAAAAAACTTTACACCATTGTTGCATAACCATTGTAAATAAAGCAATGTTTATATCTTTCAAGAGATAGTCCGAAACATACTTAAAAACGATATCGACGCATTTCAGTGGGATATTTGATAAAGGGCACCGAGCAAAAAGCTCCAGGGAAAAAAAAAAAAAAAAAAAAAAATCTGACTTCAGAAAATAATCGCCGCTAACATACAATTTCTTTGAAACAATTACTTTTAGCACTTACACAATAATACCTAATTTTTTCCTCTGTAATTCTGTTTTGCTAATCCTGTATTCTTGCCTTTTTTCAAACTTCAATTTTGTCTTTTAATGTGCTTGCTTTCCGTTTTCCAATCATTTAGCAGAAAGAAAACAAAAGACAAAAGCAGTCAAGTCAAAGCGTATTTAATATATGACATTGAAATGCAGCATTTCACATAAGAAAACTTATCTAGTCAGCAGTCTTCATTGTCTGTTATAAAGCGATCCCTGTCCATTCACCAATTAAATTTCCGCCCTTGCACTAGTCTGGAATATTCCACATCTTGTGCTTTCCTCTCGTTTACCCATTTACAATTTCGAATGTCACCGAAAGAAGGTAAAATAACGTATTATCTATGCTATAACGAAGCTATGCATAACCAGTGCTATGCATGGAATGCATGCATTATGCTATGTATAACGAAGCTATGCATGGAATAAAAAAAAATATTTTACTACTTATAAGAATGAATCGGAAGAAGAATGAAACACTATATAAAAGATATATAAGTGAAAAATATATAAACAATTATCAGTGTATAAGAAGCGCTAACGATACATATACACTTACCAGTTGGACGTTTAATGAATGATATCCTTTTCTGTTTAGATACGCTTGATCAGTATTCATAGAGCTACTGGGAGGAGCAAGGATTCCCACGTAAGTGCAATCAATCGCTCCAAGTACATTTGGGAATCCATTTGGAAATTCAGAAGATTTAGTTAGCTCCTGAAATTGTTTTTTCAATAGCCCATATTGCTCAAATGGAGGAAAGTAAACATACCTGTTAAGAAAAAGTTGTTTATATATGCTTTGAATTATATGTAATCATTTACAAAAATTTAAGTCAACTAATATACCTGTCAAACAAAATTTTATTGATCGCAGCGCTAACAGTCATAATCGCTCTGCTTACAGAAGCTTGGCTGCAAGCGAGAGTTAAATCTCCCGCAACATCTTTTTGATGTGAGCCCGTAGCAAAGAATCTAAGAGCACATAGTACCTGTCCAAAAGAATCAGAATTTCATTACAAAACTGCGGTTTCTCAAAGAAAGAACAAATCAAGTTTTGAAACAACATAAATTTTAAATATAGAAAAAGAAAAGACATCTACACGGAGGGCGTTTTATATATTAAAACGATTTCGCTAAAGAATTAAAACAAAGGAAATGTTTGGAATGAAAATTTCTGGCAATAGCTTATTATTTGAAATGAGAAATATCATCTGCTACTTTTAAATATACTCTCCTTTCAATATGTCGCATGTAACAGACATTCTACGGACTGAAGAATTTGTTTTTGCGGTTTTAGTACACAAACATTATTCCATTTTTCGAAAACATTGTGAAATGCATGACATTAAAATTTCTAAGTATCTAAGTAAGTTTCTATATTAAGCTCAACATAAGCAATATTATTAATCGAAAAGGAGAAAACCGTTAATGATTACTTCTACATGGAAAGAAGACTCCACACGAATACCCCAAACAAGGCACGTATTTTTTTTTTAATGCTTCTAAAGTGAAATCGTAGATAACAAGAGAAAATCCGCCGACGCAGAAATCAATTGCTAAGTCTTTATATACATTTGTAGCAACGTTAAGTAAAATAATAAACCACGATTTACAACTTGAAAAATCTCAAAACATAATCTTCACCAGCTTTTGCTGAAGCATGTGGCTCAACGCAGAATCATTTGCAGAACCCTGTATAAAAACTACTATTTAGCAGGAGACAAATGGTTATATCTTGCGATTCTTGATGAAGCATGGGTTTACCGCAAGAAAAAAAGGTCTATTTATTATTGAAAACGAAGAGAAAAAAAAAATGCACAAATATGATTCGTCATTATAAAGACAGTTTCAGAAAAAGGTTCATAATGGTCACAGGATTTGGGTATAATGGGAAATTAAGAACAGTGGAAAAAATATGAAAATCAGCGATCAAGAGAAAGTTTAACGTTCGATATTTACGCAAGAAATTCCATTTCTTTATCCCAATGACTTTCCAATAGAGAAACTGCTTCAAGACTCAACAAGTCTCTTTGGTCTCTTAAAAAAAACCTGTTCGTAAGCGCAAATCCACCATGATTGATGGATTTCGAAAGCAGTGGAAAAGGAATGAAAATTAATACCCCTGGAAATTTCGAGGTTTGGTTAATTCTAGCAAAGCGCGAGAGGGCTATCTACCAAAGAGGCGGGATGCCTTCGTGTAGGACTTTCAAAGGGAAACTCGCTATACAGGTTACACATGGGAGGACGCTGGTTGACCTGAAATTGCAAAAATAGCCCTTCTCTCATGTAAATCACAATGCAGATTTAAAAAAAAAAAAAAAAAAAAAAACTGGTTGCATTTTAAACATTAATTAAATGGCCTCCAATTCGTTCTAAAAATATGTAAATACCCTCTGTATTTCTACGTCATAGATATTAAAATCTCTCAAGGGGATCACGTCTGAATTCGACCAGTGTTTCACAGAACATAAATAAATAAGTCTATGGAACATTACGTTTCTACAGCAACAGCCTCTAAAAAAAAAAAAAAAAAAAAAAAAAAAAAAAATCGTCTGGAATAGCGGTCGTCTTAGGTTGTTATATTTCAACAGTTAACAATTTACAACTATTAGAAATAGAAGCTCTACTATTCAGTATTTCAACTATTAATAATTCCAATGTTATTTTTATTACACTAATTTTGCATAAAACTTTACATTAAATCATCAAGCATATAAGTTATCTGTGCTAAAATAAATATAAGATCCCTCCCGCCCCCCCAAAAAATACTTTTGAAAGCTATATAAATGTTTTTATAGCTCTTCAAAAATACGACATTTCTATTGAGTAGTATTAAAAACTCAATTAAAAAGAAATTCGAAATGTACTTAAACAATAAATATATATATAAGCTCTTTCTAAGTCGAATCTATGGTTTCGTATCGGATCTATGGTTCCACATGATTTTAGTCTTCTGTGGAAGCGGTTGTCTTAGAAAAGTGATTTCCGATATTATTTCTTAGAAATATTAGTCATTCACAGAAATAGTCGCCACTACAGGAGCTTGCTGTATTTTACGTTTAAAAGATTTATTTGGTATAGTAAGTCCTCTTTAAGATGACGACTATCCTTCCAGTTTTATTCCTATATCTGGTCATCTTACAAGTAATATTCACTACCAATATATGCAGTGACGGCCACTGACGGTTCCGGACGATTTTAGTCTTCTGCGTATGTGGTCGACTTTAAGAGGTATGTTCAATACTAATATTTATTTTCTCAGAAATGCTAGTTACATTCAAATGGTTGTTTTCGGAAGATGGGAGAGGCATAACAATATTTAAGTTCTCAGAAACAATAATCATTTTCAGAAGCGATCATCTTAAGGTCATGATTGCCATAACAGGTTTCACTTTATATGCACAATACTTTAAAAAAAGTCTGCATTTAAAAATGGATAATTTGAAATAAAGTGTACTTACTTTTATTTCTACCGACAACGCCGTCCGCGTTTCGCTTACTGGCTTTAATTCTTCTTGCAGCTGTTCACAAAGAAACCTAACTAAATGTTTTGGAAGTCGAAATAAATTTACGAATTCATCGTCACGTAATTTAAATGCATCACTCCGTTTGCGGTATATTCTTTTTTGAAAAGCCTGCCTTCTAAGGAGCTCGTACGCTATCACAGACGCCGCCATTTTCAGTAGTTCACAAAATGCCTATTCTCGCCACTTACGTTTCTGAACAGAACGCAAGTAAAACGACCACATGGTTCGCAAAATGGCTAAAAACTTAATCGCGCAACAATCGGCTGGTGAATTCTTTTGTTAACATCACGTGATCAAACTTGCGTGTCGTCTGCCATCGAAAGCAAGGAGAATAACGGCTCAACCTAGGTGGTAAAAGAACTTCGCTATTCTGCGCGGAAGCCAGAATAGCGATTCACCCTGTTTTCCTTCATATGACCTTGCTCTAACTGGGAACTGGAAACTTAGCGGTTACAGCCCAGAATGCAAGTCTGAATTGACTTTACACCGTATTTATCTGGCAGTTTAGCTAAATTTTAAACAGCATTCTTATTTAAATTTGCTAACCTGAAAAAAATATCGTAATGAATCCTTTGTAAACCGACTGCCCACGGTTCAATGGAGGTGGTTTAATTATATATTTATTTAAGTTCTCATGAATACTGATTGTTTCCGAAGATGGCCGTCACAACAAGATACAATATATTTTATATGTTAATCTGAATAATAATAATTTAATAATCTAAGTTGTGATATTTATTATCTTTAATATATTATAATGATTCTTATTAGTTTTCATAAAATTTATATCGTGTTGATATTTGGAATACATCGATGTATAGCATATTAATGCTTTTTATTTTGGCAGTTAAGTTAAAGCTTTGATACCGGCAATTCAATAATTAGAACATTTCTTAGGAAAAAAGAGCTGTTTAAAATAATTCTTTCATGAACCTACCCATTGACAAAAAGAATCAGTCCTTCCTCATAATATGTACTCACTGTGTGTTTTAGAAATCCTGCAGTTTATTTAGTATAGTTATACGATGATAACTGTATTTCTTGAAGACTAAGCTGCATGAAACTGTTCATAAAAATAAACAAAAAATTTGCTTTCAGATTTCAGCTTAGTATCTGAAAGCTGACGCAAATTGACATCCTTGCAATGTGAAATGTGCGAGTTGATCAAAATGTTTATTTTTTAGAATAATGAGAGAAACACCTAATCGTACACATGATTTTCTTTTTTAAATAAAATGTCTGAAAGTGAAATTTTATTTATTTATTCATTTAATAAATAAAAATTTTGTTTTAAAATATGTATTCGAACGATCATACAGATAGTACGTAATATAAAGAAGAAAAGTGGAATTTTAAAGATCAAAACCAAACCTAGATTAAATAAAAAACCAAATTTAGAACCTGATGTAGCCAGCACATGATTGTTATTTCCGTGTCTTAACATGGGAAATGGCAGAATAGCAAACAACTTTAAGTAAACTATCACTAACTATAGTTTGGAAATAAAATTTAATTTGCTTATAAATTCTATGGCTCATTACTAATCATCAACTCTACTCATGGCTTGCTAGCCGACTAGCGGCCGAACGGTAAAGTCGCTGAACACTGGTAGTTAGGTCCGAGGGCTCGAATCCCGGCGAAAGAGCTGGTTGCATGTTCTTTTTTTTTTTTTTTTTTTCATGGCTTTTCCCATGTGTAATGTGTATACGAATCGGTTTCACTTAGAAAGTCCTTCACGAAGTCAACCCACTCAGGCAGATAACCGTCAAGTGCTTTACCTTGACGGTTAAATCAAACCAACCTAAACTATATTTTATTATTCTATTCTTTCATACAATGGGCAATTATAATTGTATGTGCTCACGTTCACATCCGTTCTCATGCTTTTATTTGAAAATACCGCATCGATCGTTGAATATCCTCTGGTAATATAGCATTTCAGCTTCACAAATCAATGACTTAACAAGCATAAACATTTTAAAAGCATCCTTTCATTAGAATTACCGATAACCATTAAGTGTTATAATACATTTCGTTTTCAAAGTTTTTGATATTAATTTTGATTTTACTTAATATAATAATGACCAACTTTACATCATTTTAGATTCATTCCGCCTTTGCGCATTTGTGCCACATAAAACTCAACAATAAAGTCATAAGATCTTTAAAATCAGTATATTTTCTGAATTCCAGACAGAGCGCTAATTATTGCCATACACTTTTTTAATATTCGCTCTATTATTTATATTTGTTATATTATTTCTTTAAAAATAACATATAGAGATAGCATTTGTTGGTAGCATTCTTCCTTAGAAAAGTGATTCGACACAAAGTGAAAGATTGAGATTAATGTATTTAATTGCTTCATAACGAGCATTTTTCTTCATAAATGAACTTATTCTTGTTGCATTTAGTATAGTTCAAAGAAAACATTTGATGCTGATAAATGCAGTACTCGTATCCTATTTTAAAGACCAAATTTGAGAAATTTTGGATTATCTTATAATATATATTTTTTTATGAAAGTTTGTCCAGAGCTTTAAGTAAAGTATAGCTTCCCATTCATCAGTTTTAGCCAAAACCTAATACGTTGCTCGCATTGATAAATAATTTGTTCCACAAACAAACTGAAAATATTTTTTTCTAAAATAAATTTAGCTTTTTAAGCTCAGTATAAAATACCACTGCTCACAGTTTTAAGCTTGAACAGATTTAATTAAATCTTTAATTTCGTTGATTCATATTAAAAAAAAATCACTTATTAACTTTTGCATTATAAAATTTATTTCAGGATCCATACAACTACGTGGATGGAGTTATGAGGTACCTAAAATTATTTATTGAATTTATTGTTAAATTTTTGGATAAAATTTTTTTCAGGATCCATACAACTACGTGGATGGAATTATGAGGTACCTAAAGTCATTTATTGAATTTATTGTTAAATTTTTGGATATCTCATATTTTTCAGAAATGTTGAATTGGATTTACTATATTGGAACGGACTTAGCTTTTCTCGTTTTTAGCCATCTCCTTGAAAACGAAATGAAACGAGATAAATATATTCCATTCTAAAATTTTAGCTCGTTAGTTTGAAGATTTTAAATTATTTTTTCCCTTTACCATTTTTGCGTTGTAAAATATTAATTCGTACGATCAATTCGTATGCAATTATTTTTAAAATTAAATTGTATGTAGGTATTTCTACATTTCTTTATAATTTTCTTATTAATTGATTTGCGCTTTTATTAGTGCTATTTATTTTTGGAAGGTGGGAGATAAACTTAGAAAACCTAAAGTGTAAAGTAAGTTAGAGTCAAAGCAAGGCAAGTCCTGAAAAATATTAATAATTGCATCCTTGTATAAGAGGTTTAACATAATATCTGAACAATTCAAATTTAAAAAAATGGAACATAGTCGTACAAACTCGAAAACTGAAAATGCAAAAGGGAAAAAATGTACAAGAAATAAAAATATAAAAATTAATCTTCTTTTACTGAAACACCAATTCAGAACTCATCAGGAACTAATGAAAAAAAAAAGCTTAAGTTGATTATTATGTTTCGAAAACGTGTCCTGGCTCATTTCAGATCAAAAACCGAAATAAGGAACAAATTTTCATTACATTTAAGTTCATATAAAACCGAAAAGAGTGAATTTCAAATATCAAATATACTAGGATTTCTCCTACACGCCTTCAAAACACTTAAAAAAAAAAAAAAAAAAAAAAAAAAAAAAAAAAAAATGTTTTAAATTGACTACAAAATAACCATAAAACTTTACATTATGTAAAATAAACATTTGAAAAAAAAAAAAACAACTTAAAAATGCATATATGGTGTTGAAAATATATTTCATAAATTATTGTAATACTGTAAATACAAATCCTTAATAATTAATTATCCCCCCCTCCGCTGCTTGTTTTTGTAATTCAAGTGGTTAGCTCATCCAGTAACGACATAAAAAGGAAGATTTCTTGATATAGTATTTCTTGAACTTTGGAGAAATTTTAACAGCTATGACTCTAATTTATTGGACTTTTATTTATTTTTCTTTTCAGATTTTGTATATATATATATTTACAGCCGCGCTTAGTTATTTTTTTCACCTGAGCCAAAGAGTTAAATAAGGGCTCCTTTTTAAAGTTAAATTGACTATATATGTTTACCAAAAATAATCATAAAATGTAGCTATTTCAAATTATAATACTGTTGTAATATTTTTAATTGTAACTTCGTAATCATAATCGAAAAGTGATGCAATAATTTAGAGTTTTTAAATAAAATGATTTAAATTTGACGTAGTTTTTAAATAAAAAATGTTAAAATATCTTTTTGATAAAAAGCAAATAACACTGAAATAGTATGAATAGTAATGCAATAAACGTAAAAAGTACTGCACTTAATTTATTCAAGCATTTTTAATTAAAAAAATTTTTTCCTTGTCTGTAACAAGTAAAATCATCAGTACTTTTTTATATTCTACTTCATTATTTAATTGATATTTTATAGAGAACTAGCAGGCTTTTCAAGCAAACAACCAATTCGTAAATAAATATTTTTGATGCCAAATTAGCGTTTTCAGAGTTTTAAATGTCTCGCAATAACCCGCAACAACCAATTCGTAAATAAATTTTTTGTTGCCAATATAGTGTATCAGGCGCACCAGCGGCCGAGCGGTAAAAGCCGCTGAACACTGGTAGTGCAGTCCAGGCTTCGGGTTCCTTTTCCGTGTATAATGTGGATACGAGCCAGTTTACTTAAAAAAAAAAAAAAAAAAAAAAAAAAAAAAGACCTCCATGGGGCATGCCTCCCTTCCGTGTCGTGCCTAAGGTCAGAGCACATAATATGTAAAAAAGATATAGCTTTTTCAGAGTTTTTTTTAATTAATACTATCTAGGCTGATTAAAATCGTACGAAGATAAGAATGGTCGGAATCCTTTTCCACGAATGTTTTAAATCCGGGGGTAATTTCTTGAAACTCAATTCCCCGCCGTTTCGGAGGGGGTGTTTGTTATATATATATATATATATATATATATATATATATATATAAAAGAAGAAGAAAGAAACATAGACGCGCACAGATTTTTAATAATTTAGATTACCATATGTGATAGTTTTTCTTGACCAAGTGAAGATGCTATATAAGTGAAGATGCTATATAGTTTTATTAAAATTTTAATGGAACTTGATTACGATAAGTAAAACTATAAATCAATTAATTCATATTTTGAATAATTTGGTTGCTTTCCTGTTGTGTCATACGTAAACAAAGGGATGCCGCGTTGTCCGACAAAATCTTGGGAAAGATAGTTAATAGAAATCAGAGACTCGGTTTTACATCAGACTGAAAGATGCATCAAGAATGCAATACTTGCAAATTGTCATAGTTTTAATAAAGTTTTGTT